AAAAAAAATTTTTTTTAAGAATTTTTTCGTTTTTGTGTGTATAAGGAATAAAAGAAAGTGGAGGGGGGGGGGGGGGGAATCTGTAAGAGTCACTGTCTTGGAGTTAGGCCTTAATCTCTTGCCTTGCCAGTACAACACAAATCAATTTGAGGACATAGCAATTTCATCTCTTCACCTGAAGAAACACCCAATGCAGCAAGCAATGAAAAAAAAAAAACCTAATATCAATACAACATTAATTAAACAGAGAATGGTGGATAAAACCAACAGAAGACAATTGAGTCTAATTAAATAATTGCTGGAATGAGAAACTCTTGAAATTATTCAAGGTGACAGGGAAGGACATATAGAAGAAGACTATAATATGAAAAGCCCCAGTGATTACAGTCAGGATCAAAACACTAAATGCTGAGGTTTTAAGGATCTGTTTACAAGGGGGGAGAGATTTCTTTTGCTTTACTTCTTAGAGAAACTGATATGTTGGGTTACAGAATTGATTTCTTTGATTAAGTTTAAAATACATATGTTACTATTTCTGGTAGCTCTTAATAGACTTTTGCTAATCAGGATTGAATTATGAGTTTTTACAATTTGATTATGGATAAGGGATGATATATGGGAAGAAGAGATTTGTTTTTTTTACTGAAATACTAGAGAAGGTGTTAAGTTACTGACATTGTTTATACTTCTCTGGAGGGACGGGGAAGTCATCTTTTATAAATCTTCTTTTTCCTTTCCTTTTTCCTATCTCTTTACACTTCTCTTTTTTTCTTTATTTTTATATTTTCCTTAGTTTGTATTAGTCTTTTATCTTTGTATTTGTAAAGTCTAATAAAATTATATTAAAAAAATATTTTTGGGATGGAAGGCACATCTGGAATATTAAGAACATGTCATGCTACAAAACAACTTCCCTAGAGAATGGTTTTGCTATTCACAAAATGGCAACCATGATAACCAGATCAATCTGATTTACTATTGAAATATTATACCCAGGCTAATTCATGATACTCATTTTTTCTGTGAAGGTGATTTCTTAAAAAGAAAAGAGTAGTCAATAATAGGGAATTACAAAAAGAGAAGGGGCAAAGAGGTAGATGGGAAAGTATTTAGGGACTATAAGAATAACATGAAGATCTACCTCTGTCCACAAAGAGTGAAGTAAGCTATTGTAACATTTTGTTTTAACTTTAGCTGGTTTTGGGTATATTTTATCTACTACCAAACAACCCAAACTAAAAAGCATATAATTTTTAAAAAGCAAATGTACTGGATAGCATGATAGTTGGCTCAAGGATTGGCTCAGGAGGCAGACTGCAGATTGTTTCCACAATCCAGCTATCTAGTTCAGTGTTTCTCAACCTTGGCAACTTTAAGACAGGTGGACTTCAACTGCCAGAATTCCCCAGCCAGCCATGGAGTGTAGCTAAATCCAAAAATGTGAAGGAATAGAGATAAACGACATCTATACACTATTCAAAAGAGACAATAAAAAGGAAAACAAAAGACCAGACCATCTCCTCACTAGCAATCATCACCCAGATAAGCAGAGATTAACACCAAGATTATCACTAGACATACAAGCAAGCAGTAAACAATACCCTAATCAAGGAATTGCCAGAGGGGGAAAAAATAAAACGAACCCCCCCCTACCCCACCAACACTGGCAGGGCATGCCACTGTATATAAACAGAGAGCAAACCCCATTCCATTCTAGCACTGAGGATGTTACCTAGTTGGGTAACAAAACGTTTGCAAGAAAACAACCAAGTTCCACAGAGGTTAGTATATGCCAATTTTTGTTATACAAAAAAGGAGTCTCTTCTTATGCTCCCAGTCAAGTATAGGCAGAAAAACATAAACAAAATTGATAGTTGAGTTTTGTTGTTCAGTCGTTAAGCCGTGTCCGACTCTTCGTGACCCCATGAACCATATTGCGCCA